GGGATCCTGCGCCTCCCGGCCTCGGCCCCACTCGAGCCGGGGCGCTGGGGCTCGGGCGGGCGTCTAGTGGGTGGCAGCGCCCCAGAGGCCGGGCGAGGGCACAGGGCCCTGAAAGGCGCCCCGCAGCCTCCGAGCCCACCCGGCCTGCGCCGCCCCGTGGTGGGGGGAGCCCCGCGCCTGCAGCTCGCCCACCTCCACACTGGGCACCTGGCCCACCCCACAGCCCTCGGATCTCCAGTGAGAGGGCAGGGTCGCGGGTCAGCGGGGCAGGAGCCGGGGCTGCAAGATGGCAAGAGACTTGCCCAAGGTCTCGCAGACCAGTCCTGATGAAGTCTGCCCCGGAGGCTGGGGTGCAGCTCAGAACAGGAGAAGGGGAACCCCTCTCCTTCCATGGTCATGTTCAGGCCCTGGGTGTGCCGGGCCGTGTCCTCAGCCTGGTCCTCTTGTGGAATGATCACTGGGATCAGCCGGTGGTGGGTTTGAGCCTCAGCTCATGGGCCAGCCCCACGTGGGGGCAAGGTGCTGTGGATTTGCAAAGCCCAGGAGCAGGTCTCCCTTGGAGGAGCAATGGTCACACCCAGGTGGTCAAAGGCAGTGGATCCTGGTAATTAGCCACCCAGGCTCTGGAGAGGAGCAGCCCGAGTTCCCCACCGACCCACAGAGCAACTGTGCCCCCTGGGGAGGTGTCAGAGACGGAATGTTTGAGCACCTGGCCCACCCCACAGCCCCACCCCACTCCACCACCCATTCCTATGTTGAAACCCTAAGCCCCACTGTGACTGTATTTGGAATAGCACTGTGAGGAGGTGACAAGATGAAGTGAGGTCTTGAGGGTCAGGTGTCATAGAGGAAGGGGTCCGGAGCTGTCTCCATGGTGTGACACATAGCCTAAGCCGGCCCTGTGCTGGGTGGAGAGCATCACCTGGAGCAGGGTGGCCTGGCCTTGACTTTGGACTTCCCAGCTCCAGACTGTGAGAAATCAGTGTGTCATTTAAGCCCCTCGTCTGTGACATTCTGCTGTGGCAGCTTGAGCTGACGGACACAGCAAGATGTCTAAACTCTCTGTGCTCCCATTTCTTCATCTGGAAAATGTGGCTAATAATAGATTCCATCACAGAAGCTCTGTATGACATGGACAGAGTTTGGGGGGTGGGCACAGTCCTCACGTCCCGCACAGAAAGGCAATAAGGAGGATGGAGAGGAGCAGCCTCACGAAGGGTGGGCTTGGACTCCTCTCCACTGGACTGTAGGTCCACCGCCTGCAAACTCGGGCACTTTATTAGAACCGCGTCTCAGGACTGATTTGCATGGGGGTCCCCTGCCCTGGCCCCGGTGCCTCCACCAGGACTACCTGCACGCCATGCTCCATCCCGCCACAAGGCCTGTGACCTGGCTGGGCCCCCACCTGTCCTTCAGCCCTCCCCTCATGATACCCTCTACTGGCCCCAAGTCGCACTTCATGGCACTTGTCACATTTACAAAGGTCCTCTACCAGCACATCATGTTTCCTATAATCGGCGGAGCTCCCCGGACAGAGGCTCTTCGCTGACCACTGGCTTCTCAGCACCTGTTGCAGGGCCTGGAGCCTGGGAGGCTGGGAAAGGGGAGCAGGTGCCAGCGCCCCGACAGCAAGGAGCACTCACTCTGGGGACCACACACTTGCAGGAGGGACCCGTGACAATGAAGGCCTCCCTAAGTAAATGTGCAGCCAAGTGCCTTGACCAGCACAGAGCCCTTTTCTCAATCAGTATTTGCCAAATGAATAACGATCTGATACTCTAAGTCAGAGGACTGTCCCTGTCTAATGTGCCCCACGGGCACAGTAGAGAATCTCAGCTCCACAGAGACCTGGGAAGGAGAGAAGGCGGGTGGTTCTGGTTTTGGTGCTGGGGACTGAACCAGGTCTTAACCACCTCACCATCCCAGTTGGTTTTGTCTTTTCCCTTTCCAGGACAGGTTCTAGCTCATTGTCCCAGTCTAGCCTTGAACTTTTGATCCTCCTGCCTCAGCCTCCCAAGTCACTGGGATTACAGATGGACAAACTCGTGCCACCAAAAGCAGCTGGGTCAGGGCTTTGAATCCTCCTCCCCCTGCACTGCCTCCTGGTGATCTCCACCTGGCGATCTCGCCCTGGGGTGAGGGGTGCTGGAGGCACAGTGGGCTGGGGAGGCCAGGCTCGATTCTGATAACCTGGTGTGCTGGGTGGGGATGGGACACACCCTGCGTGGAGCCCTCAGTGGTGAATGGAAGGACTCGCACCTGCCAGGTTTCCCCAGGAGGGACAAAGGAGACAGAAGCCAGGGCAGGGTTTATGGGGAATATTAATGTCATGGTGGCTTCCCAGAGGAAAGGGTGTAGGGGAGGGGACAGGAGAGGAGAGAGGGCAGAAGGACCAGGAGCAGCGAAGGAGGAAATGGGCAGTAGTAAGAGAATAAAGGATGGAGAGGAAGAGAGGAGAGAAAAGACGGAGGAAAGAAAATAGGGAGAGAAAGTGGGGCAGGGGACTGAGGGAAAGAGGCATACAAATGTGAGTCCCCAAGGGTCCCCAGGACACAGTCCCCTTGATGAAAGCATCGGTCTGTCTCCAAGCAGAGACCCCCGGGTCTTCCTCCTCTTCCACACCCCAGCCCTCGCCGCCCTCTTTCCTGTAATGAGGTGAGGACCAAGCCCTGCTTCTGTGACGGATGGATGTGCAGCCTTTTGTCACACAAGCACTGGCAGGTGGAGTGTCCCTTGTCCAGAGTGCTTCAGAACAGATTGGGGACTTCTCCAGATTTTGGAATAGTTGCGTAGCCTTTACCGGTTGAGCATCCCAAATGTAAAATCCAAAATGCTCCAAAATTTGGAAGTTCTGACCTCAGTGTCAGTGCTCAAAAAGGTTCAGGATTTGAAGCATTTGGGATTTGGGATTTTGGGATTAGGGATGCTTGGGCTGTACTAACTACGATGGTTAAGAAACAGCTGGAGAGCAGGAGGGGAGGGAATGAGATTGATCAAATTATGTTACTCCCAGCAGCTTGGGAGGCTGAGGCAGAAGGATCACGGGTTCAAAGCCAGCCTCAGCAATGGCAAGGCACTAAGCAACTCAGTGAGACCCTGTCTCTAAATAAAAGACAAAATAGGGCTGGGGATGTGGCTCTGGGGTCAAGTGTCCCCGAGTTCAATCCCCAGTACCAAAAAAAAAAAAAAATGTTACAATGCAAAATGAATCCCACTATTATGTATGATTATAAGCACCAACAAATTAAAAAAAAAAAACAAAACAGAAACAACCATAGGGTGTCAGAGGCCTCACAGAGAAAGAATGGAACCAATTATACAAAGAACCCATTACAAGACTGAACTTTCCAGTCAGTTCTGGGCCTCCTGACAGCCAAGGCAAAAAGAGAAATATGATGAGTTATAGCACTCTCATTATTCAACACTGATTTATTGACTGCATGCACCATTAAGTTCTCTCCATTCTTGGAAGAATCCAGCCACCTGGAGTACAAGGACCAATCCTCACTTTTGTGACAGGTGTGCCGGACCCTGAAGTGCACCACCAGCTCAGACACCTCTACCTGGAAACAGAGATGGACCTTCTGTGTCTGCATTGGAGGCTGCAGAGCCAGGGACGGGGAGGTTGAGATGGGGTGTCAAATGCACTTCCACTGGGGGGACAGTCACCCAGGCGACCTGGCCCGGGGAAGCCCCGCAGCCTTTTCTGCACACAGCTCTGGCCCCTCTTGCCCAGCAAGGGCCTGGGGAGGGGCGGTCGGCCTCCTTCAGGAGCCGGCTGCTGGCAGTGCTCCCTCCCAGCTGGCTCCGCGGAGTCTGCACAGGCAGAGATTAAGCCTGCTGCAAGCCCAGCCAGGAGACGCAAGCCCAGGAGGAGGGGCAGAGGGCCCGGCCGCTGTTCACCCTCGGCAGGGCGCCAGGACCCTGGGGTGCCCAGCAGCCGTGCCCCTGGGGCCCTCAGGTCTCTGTCCACTGGTTTCCCTGGAGCTTAGCACCATGAGAACCTGGAGCCTCCGCCCCGGTACCCACACAGCATCCATTATCATCCATTCTAATGCCAAAGCGACATAAAGATGGGGGTGGGCCCACGTCCCACACAGACCCGGGCTGGGTACTTGACCCTGGGTCTCAGCTTGTGACATAAATAAACCACCTGCAAAAGTTCCTGCCTGGCGTTAAGCCTTAGTTTCCCCTTCCTGAAAAATTAAAGACTCAGCTAGCAGTCC